CTGCCCCAAGGTGTTCCTAGTATGTCAGGCCTTTGGATGCCTTTCCAGATGTGCCACACCATACACAGCTAATTTGAGCAGAAGAATCTGGAGACTGCAACTGTCTGGTATGAGAACAGCTCCAGCTGATCCTAAATGTTCCCAGAATCACAGAATAGCTGAGGTTTCAGTCCACCTCACTGTCTGCTTAGCAAGCCCATGCTTCGTCAGCTTGTCTCTGAGGATGTTATGGAAGAGAGCGCTGAAAGCCTGGCTAAAGTGACGACAAAAAACATCCGCTGCTCTCCCCTCATCTTCCAAGCCACTCATCTCATTGTAGAAGGCTATCAAGTTGGCTAAGCACAATTTCCCCTTCATAAATCTATGCTGACTACTTATTACTTTTCAGTCCTTCATGTGTTTACAAACACTTTCCAGGAGGATTTTCTCCACCACCTTTGCAGGTTTTGAGGTGAGGCTGGCCAGCCTGTAGTTCTCCAGATCTTCCTTCTCGTTCTCCTTGAAGATACGAGTGACATTGCTTTCTTCCAGTCTTCAGGAAACTCTCCCAATCACCAAGACCTTTCAAAGATTACGGAGAGTGGCCTCACAATGACATCTGCCAGTTCTCTCAGCACTCACAGGTGCATCCTGTGAGGGCCCATGGACTTGGTATGTCAGGTTTGTTGAAGTGCTCCCTAACCTGGTCCTCCTGAACTGATGGCAAGCCCTCCTTGCTCCAGGAGGTGAGCAATGTTGGTGAAGTTTACCTTGTGAAAGACAAAAATATCATAGTGCCTGGGGATTGCAGCAGCTCAGGGAGAAAGGGACACTGTATTGAACCAGGGCCAGTCTGTGTAGCTTGCACAAGAGCCAGGTCCAAACTGCTTAGGGTGTTCTGATATGCGACATTAGTATCCTGCTCATGCTCTGCTATGATTACTGATTGCACCTATTTTTACTCTGACACCAGCAGACTTCATTCATTTTTCCTTCTTAAGAATACTGTGCCACCCTCCCATCCTCCTCTGCCTCACCTGGATCCCTACGCCAGTTGCTACCCTGCCACGTAAAGCACAACCTGGCCATATCCCTGCTGAGATCCACCACAGGGGCCACTTCTACATTTTGCTTGCAATAAAGTAAAACACATTAGATGGTCCCATTCTAACTCCTTAATCACAATTACTTAAAAGGCCCCAAATTACTATATTGAGGGGAAGTGGAGGAAAATTTCCAGGAGTACCAGACACACAGATTAGTAAACTTTCCAAAGACCATGAGGAAAGAAAAGCTTTATACAGTAACTCAAGAGTGTATCCGCTAAAGCATCGTCAGCTGGAGTCCTTCCCACCACCAGCAGTTTGACCCACTTGTTTCGTTTAAAAATATAGACAATGCATTTAGGACCATATTTTAGAAAACAGTCCATACCCTTGCAGTTTATACAAAACAATTTGTAGCCTTAGGCTGGCAAAGGGCAGGGGCTTTGTACAAGGGGCTGAAAATGAAAACATCTGGCTGTGGTCAGTCTGACCTGCAATTCTCGGGGAGAGGAAAGCCAGAAGAAATGGGGGAGGGTATGTGCCCAGGACTGGAGAGGTGTGGGTCATATCCCTGTTCTGCCTTCTCATCTCCCTGTCGGATACAGAATGGGGACATGAGACTGATACAGAAGCATTTTCCTTTCTTACAGTTGTATTCTGAGGATAAATTCACTAAAAAATAGAGGTGTCCAGCTGCTGCTTTTTTTTTATTAAGACATCTCCTTCTGATTGCATGCTGAGATTTCCTCTTCAAATTCTGCACAAGTCAAAAAAAAACCTCATGAAAGCTGTGTTTCTGTAAGATACAGTCTGGCCACATGTGTCATTATAAACAACATTGTTGTGATGTCTCTAATGGCCTCAGAAGGCTCTTATAAAAATCATAGAATCATAGAATGATTTGGGTTGGAAAGGGCGTTAAAGTTCATCAAGTTCCAACCCCCCCTTGATTCACAGCAAGCACATGGATTAATCCCAAAGAATTACCCCTTAAATATTGAAACCAGAGCTTTCAGAGCTAATATATTGGGAAAACAGTGAGTGTAGACTGCATAAGCTTTGACAGTAGTTGTATCCATCTGAAACACCAATAAGCCGGAACGAAACATTTTGCCTGTGTAATCAGCCACATCCTGACCTTGCATCTCTGCAGCCTTCCTAGTATTGTACTGAAAACCATTTTCTGCAGCAGAGAATAAGGTTGCAGAGTTACCTGTGGGGGGATTCTCACATATCAATTGGTGTTTCTTCATGAAGCTACCCTGAACAACCTCAATGTTCAGCATATTTTCTTACAACTGGAGAGGAAAATGCCTCTAGTCCCATCTGTGATTCTTATCACTGCCCAGCTGGGCACAATACCTTAATGCTGGTTAAAAGAGTCTTAAAGAGCAACATATACATGTTTCTTTTTGCATATCCTAAATATGTTGCAAAAAATAATTTTTTGCAAAGGTCAGAGCTGGGATTGGTATCTTCATATTTTGAGCCAAACGAATATAAATTTGGCACTACAGTATATACAAAAGTAGAGGGAGTTGCTGCCAAGACAGAAGTCAGTGCAAGAACATGGAAAGGTCAAACTGACCTTGGCAGCTTGTAAATCTGGAAAGCCTTTCTATGTTTAGCCTTAGAAAAATCATGAAATCTCTGTTTCCTCCTCTTTAAAAAGGAATAACACTTTGTCCCCGACCCTGACATGTCTTCCTCTTAGAAATGTACTGGGTGCAATGAACACTGCATGAACAGGGGCCAGGGTTCCCCCCAAACTGGGAGACAGTCCTGAGGCTTGGGTGCCCAGGATTACAAGCATGGGAGCTGCAAGAAGGCACAGCCCTGCTATGGTACATAGCTGTGCCTGGAGCTGTGCTTGCAGGAATGGGTTTCATTTTTTAAACCTTTTAGTTCAGACTTAAAACAAACGAACAAAAAGCTTCCTGCTTTTCAGGCAAGAAGACAGGTTTGGTAGTAATAGTCTTCTAGGAAGGTTTGATAGTCACAGCCTTTTAGGAAGCCTGTGAAACCCAGTAAGTGGATGCTACCCATCTTCAAAGACTTGAACAAATGGTTGATCCACAGGAAAGAACATAAGACATCAGGAAAAAAGTGCTAACAGTTGGGACTGGGATGGTGAAGCCTTGGAACAGGTTATGGGAGTGGTTATCAAATTCCCTCTGTCAGAAAACATTGGTGGAAGGACTTGGTGGGTGTAAAGGGGACTGACAGTACTTTGGTGCAGGACCAATGTCTGAGGAGCCTCCCAGCCACAAATCTGTATGGTACCATTGCTGAAAGGCAATGCTGGAAGCGGTGCAACTTAAGAGATAAGGAATTGAGAGGAGAGGGGAGATGAGACAGAGCAGGACAGCAGCAGGCAGGGTCTGTGCCCTGCACAGTCCCTCACCGGTGTGGCCGGTTTCGAAGTTGCAGAGGAATCTCAGCTATGGGCACACAGCCCCAGGTGACCTGTCTGACTCTCATCCTGCAGCTCAGCTCCCAAAGAACAAATGTTTACAGGTCCTATTAGTTTCCTTTTTTTTTTTTTTGTCTTAGAGACTGAGGTTGTTACCACTCTTGATCAAAGTTTTCTTCTTTGAGTTACTGATCTGAAGAACCACGCTCGTCAGAGTGGGTCCCTAAATTCAGGTAAGAAAATTAATATTTGGCACCCTACTTTTATAAACAAATGTAGGAAACTTGATATCTTCTGCTGAAATATAGCCTGTGGAAGTGGTCAGAAAAGGGGTTGATCTATAGGAAAGGATACTGAAGGATTCCTTACAGTCTGCAGTGAAAAAGCTAAAAAGCTGCTGGAAAAAGCAGTGAAGCACCTTGAATATATACATGTATGAAACTGGGTTCAGGCCTGTAGAGGAGGACTTGGGGATACTGGTGGATGAAGAATTGGACATGAGCTGGCAATGTGCACTTGCAGCCCAGAAAGCCAGTTGAATCCTGGGCTGCATCAAAAAAAAAGCATGGCCAGCAGGTCGAGGGAGGTGATTCTCCCCCTCTGCTCCGCTCTTGTGAGACCCCACCTGCAGGACTGCATCCAGTTCTGGAGTGCTCAGCACAGGAAAGACCCAGACATGGACCTGTTGGAGCAGGTCCAGAGGAGGGCCACAAAAATTATGAGAAGGCTGGAGCACCTTCCATATGAAGAAAGGCTGAGAGTTAGAGTCATTCAGCCTGAAGAAGAGAAGGCTGTGGGGAGACCTTATTCTGGCCTTTCCATATATAAAGGAGGCTTACAAGAAAGATTTTTACGAGGGCCTGTACTGACAAGAGAAGGGACAATGGTTTTAAACTAAAAGAAGGTAGGTTTAAATTGGACAAATTTTTAATGATGAGGGTGGTGAGGCACTGGAACAGGTTGCCCAGGGAAGCTGTGGATGCCCCATCCCTGGAGGGGTTCAAGGCCAGGCTGGATGAGGCTTTGAGCAACCTGGGCTAGTGGAGGGTGTCCCTGCCCATGGCAGGGGGGTTGGAACTAGGTGATCTTTGAAGGTCCCTTCCAACCCAAACTGTTCTGTGATAATTCTATGCAATACGTTTGCAGGGCTGGTGCAGTGGAGGGACTTGGATCACTGACCAAAGAAGCTGGGAGAGTGCAGAGGGTTGCACATGACAGCTGTGGTCCTTGAGGTCGTCCATCTGCACCTTCCACAGTCCCACAGACTTGAACAAACCGAGTGTCACGGGCGATTGACATGCTACCAAACCACAATAGCAGCGAGGTAGTTTGTAGGAAGAGCTGATACCTTTTATTAAATCAATTAAGTAGTGGGGGAAAATATAGCAGTTAAGAAAAAAAAGAACAAAGACAAGTCTTCAGGTATGAAAGCCCCTCCTGAGGCCTGCAAGAGGAGCTGAAGAGGGAATTGGCATCGTAGTGCTTTCACATCCACGTCGCAACAAGGACAGAAAATTAGGCCTGGTGCCAGAGGAGGGGGGAGAGAAGACATTTAAACCTGGTCACCGTAACGGGTACAGGTTAAAAAATGCGTTGTCATTGCAGTAGCTGAGACCCGTACAGCATCTTCCCTGGCCCCGGTCTCCTTCGCTTCCCCTCAGAGGTGCTGAGAGGTGGTGGTGGTGTTTTGCCCCACTCGCCATGGTGCGGGGGCCTCCCTGAGGCACGGGGTAGGGCGGTGGAGGGAGGCAGCTGCTGCTGTAGGCCAGCAGGGATTTCTCCTCAGAGGGTTCATCCCCCAAAGGGCCAGCATTAGGCCTGAAGGGGTCATGGCCACCCTCTGCCATGGGCAGGACGTGCTGGGTGCTGGGGTGGGTGCAGTGCCGGGGGGAAGGGGCTGTGCAGGGCAGGTCGGCCTCGGGAACGGCAGGGGGGGTGCAAGGG